GTACATTACTCTCCGTATTTAGGATTATGGTGACTCCCAGTCCAGAATCCATTTGGGGGCATGGAAGAGAGTCACACTGCAAAATTGGAAAATTTCAGTGAGGGTAACATAGGGTTGACATTAAGTCAGATACAACTTGAAGGCATACAGCACCACTACCACCAACTGCAGCATTAGTAAATATTGCCATTCAGCAGAGGTTGCACACCACATTTAACCCTCAACCTAAGAAATGGAGTGGGATTGGGGGTGGGACCATTATAATTGTAACCTATCAATTGTTCCAAAATAACTGTTTCCTATTTATGCTATGCCAGACTTCTTCTTAGCTTTCACATCTGCCCCACAAAGTTATATTAGCATGAAAAAGGAGCAGGACAGGTGCCTGCAAAATTTAAGGAAGCCATCTCTATGCAAAAGGATAACAATGACATATTTCATACTCTTCAACATTTCACCAATAAAAACTGGGACACATGTGGCCATGAAACGTCAGAGTGTGGTCAAGATAATAAAAGGATTATTAATGAAGAAGAATTCACAAACTAGGAAAGGGCACAGCAGTTTGTTTTTGCCTGAGTTCACTGGGAAGGGAAAGATTCTGCCCTCTCCTCTGCACTGAATTAACTGAGGAAAAACTACTTTTGCATTTTGAGCTCAGATTTCAGCAAGGTGGGGCAAAGGGGAGAAGTGGGAAAAAGAGAGCAAAGCTGAGACATTTTTTAAAAGCAGCAGAAAAAGGGGGATGACAGGTGTTTAACAGGGACTATCTGTCAATCCAGGACAGCTGGAGGGAATTATATTTCTAATGAAGGTTGGAAGCAGCTTGTTAAGACACAGGTGTAACCTTGACCAGCAAAGTCAAATTCTGGGGCAATTTAATAAAACCCTATTAACAAAGAAACCCATAGGTGTATATGTAGCTTTCTTACTGCAGCTTTCTTATAGTATTGCTCTGTCATCATGGAATTCAGTTTATGGAAACAGAAAAGACATTTTCCTTTTGTTCAGAAAGGAAATCATGTGATTGACAGAGCCAACAATGCCTAAGTTTTCCTGAAGAACACCAGTTTTATTTTGAGGATTGTGCTGCTTCCCCTGTTTCTAATTCTACTTTTTTGCAAGTCTACCTAGAAACTGTTCCTTCACTGTAATGGCATGCTTCCAGAATATGAAAATTCTCATTTGTTCCAAGCAAACATTTATTTTTAATAATCTACAACCATCGTGTAAGGCAGACTTTACATCAGTGCTCCACATTTTAGATGTCAAGATAGATATGAATAAAGCAAGTCGAGCGTTTCCAAAAGTGTTATCAGTCCTTTGTGGATTGACAGTAGATTTTTGCGTTAACATGCCTTGCAATTAACTTATGAACTGTTCTTTCATTGTAATTGCAAAAAAAAAAACACTTTAAAATAACGTTTAAAAACATTCTTCCACCATCAACAGTTGAGTTAAATTACACCCTGCAAGCATTCAATTGTTTTGATTATCTGTAAAGCAGACTTCATGTCATCCTCATCCCTACTCCATTTTAGATGTGGAAATCAGCCAGACTATTTACAAAAGTATTATCAATCCTTTGTGGACAGATAACACTTCTACAAATACTCTGTTGTTCTGTGTGTGTCAATAGTGTGTTTTACATCATTGTATATCAATACCTGTGCTAGTATCTTTTGCAGTGAACACTTTTTTAATTTTGAAAACTACCATGTCTTTCTTTTTTGAAAATAACCTTTTAAAAAACAGCCCAGAGCATACTACAAGCTTAGCTTTGAACAGTTTGGAAGGGCCCTTTATGGTACTGCTTTTCCACCTCAGGTCAAATGCCATGTCTGAAATGCCAGTAAGTTTAAAAATGGAAACAAAAGTAAAATGCACAAATGATTGTTACAGACATCCATACACATTTCCTCCACTTTCACAGGCAATACTACTATAAAGATAGTAGTAATAGTAGTAATAATAATAGCAGAAACTATTACAAAAAGATGGGTTATAGGCTTTAGAGATACTAATTTAGCAAATAAGAGTTTGGGTTTTGTTTTTTAATGTGCTATATACAACAAGTTTAACCATCTCCAGTAGCTAAACTGGATTTATGGATACCAAGGTGTAGTCCTGGTACAGTTGAGAGATTCACAATCTATGATTGTGGAGACAAAAGAGGAGACAAAGGAAAGTTAAACTTTAGTGTGATTTTTGTAAAACTTATAAGAATGAGTTTGGCAACAATTATCAGAGAAGTGGTCTCTGCAGAAAGTAGTTCGTGTTGTATTCACAAAATAATAAAACCGAGATCATCTTGATCTCACGCTTTAAACAAATAAATTTGCTAACCTTGAAGTGCCTCAAGACTGATATTTTTTGCCTCAACAGATCGACACACTCCTTCCACCGAAATTATTGATTTTATATCATTTTTACAAATGCAAGGACTACTCACTGCAAGAAGATGAAATACCATTATTCTAAATTAAATAATTAACTCACACATTTGATAGATGGCAAAACAAACATTCAACACTCTCATTTAAAGGGCGGGGATAACAGAGGAATTAAAAATTGGGCTATTTGGTGACCAGCTACATCCTCTTTTTCCAGGACCTGTCCTACATTTCAAGACTTCTGTCCAGGAGGAATTCCAAAATCTCCTCCATTTGGAGCAGGACTAAAGATACCCTGATCCAGCCCAACCATAAGGACCGGCCCTGGCAGGGTGTCCAGATGTCCTCCTTTTCCAGAATCTGTCCTCCATTTCAAGCCTTCTCTCCAGGAAGAATTCCCATATGTCCTCCATTTGGAGCATCAACTAAGAAGCATGGTGTTTTGCGCTTTTATTAGGTCATGTCTTCCAGTGTTTCTTGAATGCCCTCCGTTTTGCAGTGTTTGTTCTCTTTGGCGGCGTGAGGACCCCTGTTCCCCCTGCCCCCCTTCCACTGCCCTCAATGTTGTCCTGGGCCAGAGTGCAAAGCTATGGAAGAGAAACCCACGACAAATATAGGGATCCTCAACCAGTGAGAACCAAAGGCTTCTGCTCTCCCAAACCCGAGCACTGGATAGTCTCTGGGAAAAGAATCAAGCCATCCCTTAAGATATCAACCCCACTTCTGACCCATTTTAGGAGGTCACCTGGGAAGGAAAAGGCTAAGGAGGGGTGGTGACAGACTTCAGGAATCTGGAAGAGAGGGGAAGGAGGTTCAAATCCACCTCTGTGTTTTCTCCAACCCATCGGTGTCCAACATGGCGCACTGGGCATTGATCCTGGGCTGGAGTGGGAGTCCCTTGGTTTCCTCCAGGGGAGGGGAGGGGAAGCACTGATCAGATGTCCTCACTACAAAGGAGGGCAAGGCACTGTCCAATGGAGAACATTCCCAAAACAATGGAGGACCTGACCAAAGAAAGACTACACACTCACACAAATATCAATTTATGCTTCTTGGTCAGGCTCCTAATGGAGGACATGTTGGGATTCCTCTGGGGCAAAAGGGGGAAATGGAGGGCATGTCCTGGAAAAGGAGGATGCCTGGTCATCCTCAGCACTGCGTCCTCCTAGCCAGGTCATTGGAGTCGGGAAAAAGTCCCTTTGAGCCAGATGGGAGGCAGGGAGGCCAGAGGAAATCTGGACTGTGGGAACAAAGGAAAGGAGCATGGAGGAGGCTCTTCGGGAGAAACTACCTTGAAATGGAGATGGATGGATGGATGGAAGGAAGGAAGGAAGGCCTATTCACGGTAGTCAAAAGACAGCAGCGAGGCAGTGGGGGGGGGATGGCAGATTTCCACAAAAGTTGGGACAGGATGGGTTATACCCCTCTGCCAACCCTCTTCCATAGACCCTCCCCTCCAGTACATGTGATTCAGTTCTGAACAGTCGTTCCCATTTGTTGAACATGCTTGAACATGCTTGCAAAATGACTCTTTTCAAAAGAACCACCAAAAGATCCGTCTTCAAAAAGAGCAATTTATTTATTTATTATTAATTTTGCATTTGTCTTGCTTCACCACGACTCCAATTGAATGCAGTCGGGTCTGAAACGGTTTCCAGTGTGAACAAGGCACATATAAACTGATCAGCAAATTGTGGGGACGAGCCCTGAGTGATTTATTTATTGACGTAGAAGAAGCAATGGACAGTGTAGCTGATAAACTAGGTGATTGTTATCTGTATGTGTTTGTAATATGGGGAGGGGGATAATTTGTAACGAATTTAAAATGGAACCAACTGGACTTATTTACACAAGTTAATATGATATTATGTTTAAAGTGGTAACTTTAAAAAAAAAAATAAAGACATATAGGAATAATATACCTAACTAACACAGAATCTAAATCTAAAACTACCTAAAATCTAAAATAGAGACACAGACAAGGGAACTATGGCTTCCAGCCTGCTTGACCATGGTTGTTTAGTATGCAAAGGGATCTCATAGTACCTTGAGTGTTACACTGTTATAGTGGTATTATTCCACTTTTACTGCTTTGGCTGCCTCCTGTGGAATCCTGGGATTTACAGTTTAGGGAAAGGCATTTGGAACTCTCAACCAGA